TCCTTGCGCACCTCAAGGCACGAGAGGGAAGACGGAGACAGAGGCAGGAGAGCAACGAGGGCGGAATTTGGTTGGATGCGGTGCAAAGGGATGCTGCTGGGTGACCAGCTGTGGTCGTGACCCCCGCGCAGAGGCAGCAAGGGATGCGAAAGGGATGCGAAGGGATGCGGAGGGAGTCTTATGAAGGACAAGGGGATGCGGTGACCTGAAGCAGCCAAACGAATGGCGTCTACCGAAAGGCGCCGATCGAATGGCGCCTAACGAAAGGCGCCGATCGAATGGCGCCTAACGAAAAGGCGCTGACCGAATGGCGCCTAACGAAAAGCGCCTATAGAAAGGCGCCTATCGAAAGGCGCCTAACGAAAGGCGCCTAACGAAAGGCGCCGATAAAAACGCCAAACGAAACGCGCCTGGCGGAAGTCGCCTATCGAAAGGCGCCGTTCGAATGGCGCCTAGCGAAAGGCGCCTTTCAGTTAGGCGCCTCGAAATTGTCAGATCAAGTGCGAAATTCGTGTGAAGTTGGGGGGGTGTGTGTCTGGTTTGGGCGGAAAGATTGGCTGCGCGGTTGGTTTGGGTGAAGAGGTCAATCTGAGTGGTTGGTTGGGTGGAAAGGCTTACCTGTTTGGCTGGTCTAGGTGGGAAGGTTACGCTTCGTGGTTGGGTTGGGTTGAGAGGTTTTACCGCGTGGTTGGTCTGTGAGGTTGACCAGCCATTCGTTTTGTGCAACGCCTGACCAACATTTGCCACCCCCTCACACACGTCCCCGTTCGCTTTCCCTCGCTCTCCCTTCGCCCCACTCCCTGTCAGGCTCCTTCGTGTCATTCAGGATTTTGCCCGTCAAGTTTGCTATCCGCAACATTTGACACGAAGAAGCGTCACATTTGTCGTTTAGACACGCCTTGCAGGGAATCTTTTCTTCTCCCCCGTCTGCTAGCAATACGCCAGCCCTCTCTCCTCGGGTGATGAGCATCTCCAGTGACGAGGAGTATCTGGTGGTGGCTCATTTCTACCCAACTCAACAGCCATCCCCTCCCCTTCCTCTACTCGTGTCCTTCTCGTCAATCACAGGATTTCCCAGTCTCCTCGCTCTTTCCCTCAGCACCGTATGTTCGCAACAGCACAGTTTTTCACATCTCCTCGCTATTTCCCTGAGCACCGTATGTTCGCAACAGTCCAGGGTTAAGGGCTCCTCTGTGGTTGTGGCCGTACACTATTCAGGCTTCTTTTATCACTAGGATCACGTTTATTGAAGATAGGAATCGAACATTGAAGACATGCGAGGGCAATGAGCGCAACAGAAACTAGACTAGTATGGCGAGTGCCGATCAGGCACTCAACCACAACGCGGACACTTTTTATTCGACTATTCCGCACCATCATCGCATTTATTTCGGAGTCTGATACCCGTCGCCGCCGCAGTGCTGAATCCGCATCTGCGGTGCACGGGAGAGCCACGACTACCAATGAGCACGCCTCGTTGGACCTTGCTGACGAGACGTCTAGAAGTTGCCGTCCGCATGGTAGGTCGTTCCCGCGCTCCACCCGACGGGAATCGCATCGGTCCACACCAGCGGCTGCTGCGCGCCTCCCACCAGCGTCACGCGCAGATTCACCGCCACGCCCACGTCGACGACATCCTTCGCGGGATTGAGGGTCCACGTGGCGCTATTCCCCAGCTGGCTCATGCTCGTCCAATTCTCGCCGTCCGTCGATAATTCCAGCAGATCCACGCCGCCCGCGCCGGCCGCTCCTAAGACCTGGATCGCGAACCAGTACGGGTTGCTCCCGGGCATGATCTTAACCGCGATCCCGCCGTTGTTAGGGCAGTCCACGCCGCGGTACCTAATCTCCACGCGGCCCGCGGACCGGTCGTTGGAGATCTCGTCCCACGCGGTGTCGGAGAGCAGGAAGTCCTCGCCTTGAATCCCACCGCTCGGACCGTCACGACGCTGCTGCGGCAGCTCGCGTGGTTGAGGCACTCGACTTCGTAGCACGTGCCGCAGCCCTTGCCGTTCTCGTACCTGCTATGAGGGATCATGGCGGTCATTCCGTTGTTGAAAAGCGGGTCGTCGCGGAGGTTACCCTCGTAGTTGCACGCGCCGCCGCCGGAGTTGATGCCTTCGCTGAAAGTGGCGTAGACGGCGTTTGCGGGGGAGGAGGGTGGAAGCTAGGACGACGAGGAAGCCAAGGCAAGCCAAGCTGCTGGGAATGGGGGCCATGGCTGAAACAGGAAACACTGGATCCTGCTGGATAACGGAGGGCTGAAACTCGATATTGCACGCTTGACAATCGGAATAGACGGCTGGAATCGGAGGACGGAAGCCCTTGGACTGTGAAATGGTGGTGTGAAGAAAGTTGAAGGAGCAGTAGATTAAATACTCCTCTAGCCTAACGGGAGGAGCACCTCACCAAGTAGCAAATCCGAACCGCCGTGGTGTATGGACTTGCAAGTCGGCAACCGCATCGCCATCGCCAACGATTATTGGAAGCTGACAATTATTGAATCACCACATTCGAATTCCTTGCATGCTGAAGTGGTGGCGTGGAGAGACTGTCTGAGGGACGGAGCGTGTCTTTCCGTCGTATCAGTTGACCTGGGCAGGTAGGAAAGAAAGGTCTGGGCGAATGCTCAACAAATCTGTGGACAAGGCCAGCAATACAATTTCTTGCCGTCAACTTGCCAGGTTTGTCCTGGGGCAGGGCGACGGAAATGCTCATTACTCTTCGTTCCGTCAAGCGGACTTCCCGCAAGCTTTCTGAGAGCGGGGCTTCGAGTTCAAACAGCACCTGCTTGCACTCACCACACTGAACGCCGGTCGTCCACTATCAGACCGGCTTCCACCTCTCGAAGTACGATCTAGTGCCTCTTAGGGCGTTACCAGAGTGAATTTTCCCAAAGAATATTTCCGTTGCAGCTAGGTTTGTGGCCAGCTTTCACCGGTTCTGTGCTATGCAGCTATTCCGAGTACGGTACCTTTACAAAAAAAACACTTCGGAAACGCCCTTATCTTGAGCACTCAATTTAGCCATTTTTAAAAAATACACAAACATATCCACTAATATACAAATCTAACAAGCAACAAACGCGAAGCTCCCATTCGGTCACTGCACACACAAGTGAATCATACATACTAAATGAGGTTCAGCGAGCAATGCAACGATCAACCAGATGCCGCCTTCCCATCACTGCCAGCCTGAAAGCAAGAAACCCAAACGTGAAAGAGGAGGGGAGGGGGGAGGGGTTGGGGAGGGGGGGTTGAGAGGAGGAGAGGATTGTTCACAGGCGAGCGCAGAGGGAACTCGGGAGGAGACTTGGATCGAGAGCGGGAGCTAGGCAGAGAGCAAAAGAGCAAGACGGGGAGGGTGGATAGGGTTTACTGGAGAGCGAGCACGCTCGGGAGACTCGGCAGGAGACTTGGATCGAGAGCGGGAGCAAGAGGGAGTGGGTGGAGAAGGGGGAGGGAAAGGGCAGGAGAGCGAGAGAAGGGGAAGGGGGGGAAGGGCGGGAGACGAGATCAGAAGGGAGCTTACAGGAGAGCGAGCACGCTCGGGAGACTTGGCAGGAGACTTGGATCGAGAGCGGGAGCGAGAGGGGGACTTGGATCCGCTCTTCTTGGGCTGCAAGGGGGAGGTAGGAGAAGGAAATATTGGCCGTTGCCTGAGTGAGAGATGGGCTGGGCCGAATCTTGAGGCACATGGCACTACACGTGACTTCGCATTCCGACCATGAGCGCGAGCGAGCGTTGGAACGCGAGCGCAAGCGAAAGCCGGAAAGGCGATCACTCGCAGAGCGGTGGGCTGCGGACGAGGTGTGTGTGGCGGGAGGGGCAGGGCAAGTGAAAGTCGGAAAGGCGATCACTCGCAGAGCGAGAGGAAGAGGAGAACGGCAGGCATGCCAGTCAAACCCTAAGCGGAAATTCACGCACAGATCGCGAGCGCAAGCAACACTTGGGATTTGGAACGGTATCAGGAGCGAAAACCGGAAGCGGAGCGAGAGCGTTATCAAGGTCGGAAATTGCATCTCTTGAACAGAAGATTGATTCGACACACCAACGGACAATATACACCTTGATCAACACACCACATACCGATCGCGGGCGCGAGCGAGACTTGGACTTGGAGGAGAGCGCGAGCACAGACTGGAAGCAGAGCACGGACTGGAAGCAGAGCACGCATGAGCGCGAGCGGGATCGAGAGCGGGACATTATACACCTTGAGTGGCAAACCACGTACCGATCGAGAGCGCGAGCGAGACTTGGACTTGGAGCGGGATCGGGAGCGCGAACCCGAAGCGGAGCGAGAGCGGGAGCGAGACCGTGAACGGGACCGCTCGCGGCGACGCGGGGACCTGCTGCGATCGCGACCGGTCTTGCTCTCCTCACGCACCTGAAGGGACAGGGAATGAGGTCATGGGCAAGAGGCAGGAGCAAGGAGGGGGGAATGGTTGATCGGAAGCAACTCTCGTGAAGGAAAGTGGACGGGGTGTCCTGCTGTGATTGCGGCCGGTCGTGCTCTCCTCACGCATCTGAAGGGACAGAGAGCATGGAAGAAGGGAGAGCGGCAGCATTAGAGCAGGCCTGGAAGGAAAGAGGAGCAAGGGAGGAGGCCGCGGTGACCAGCTGCGATCGCGGCCAGCCTTGCTCTTTCTCACACACCTGAAGGGATGGACAGGGGAGGCCAAGAGGCAAGAGAGGGGGCAGGAGAAACAGAGGCAGGGGATAAGAAAGCAATCTCGTAAAAGAAAGAGGATGCGCGAAGGCCGAAATGGGCGGAGGTTGGGCACAGGAGGTTCACGACAGGACAGAGGTTCGGAATTGGATGGAGGCTCGGAACAGGATGGAAGGATGGAGGTTCGGGTCTGGATGGACGTTCGGGAATGGGTGGACTTACTCGAATGTAGCAGCCGCGAGAAAAAGGGTTTTTGAACTCCGAATCGTCTAGCTTGCGGACCTGATGGGAGAAAACGGGGGGGGGGGGGGGGGAAGAGATGCGTAGGAAGGGATGGGTGGGAGGGGATGGGTGGGAGGGGATGGGTGGGAGGGGATGGGTGGGAGGGGATGGGTGGGAGGGGACAGGAGGGAGACAGGAGGGATGAGCGTGAGAGGGGACAGGAGAAGGGTAGAGAGGGAGAAGCATGGGCGCATTGAAGGGGGGCGGAGATACAGCTAGGATCAAGATAAACGCGAGCAGAGAATTATCCTTACTCACTCATAACCAGCTTTTGCATCACTCGATTATTGCAACGCCTGGGTTGTCATACATTCCACTTGTCATAATTCAATTTGTCACACCCCACTTTAGTCCACACACCAGGTTTGTCACACCCCGATATTTTCGTCACACCCCGTTTTTACACCCCGATATTTTGTCACGCCCCTCTTTTACAACTGTTTGTGTCACACCCCGTTATTACACCCGTTTTTAGTCACACCCCAGTTCTGACACACCCCAGTTTTGTCACACACCGTTTTGTCACACCCCACGTCCATCCCCGCTTTTGTCACACCCCTGCTTCTCATGCAGAGACCATGCCTCAACCCTGCTTGCGACCATGCCTCACCCCTGCTTGCGACCATGACTCACCCCTGCTCACCCCATGACTCACCGCATACTTCATGTCCTCCTCGTTGCTGTAGTCCACGATCCCCATCATGCCTGGAGGGAGGGGTGCGTGCGTGCGAGTGCGGCAAGGGTTGGGGTGGTAAGGGGAGGGGTGTAAGGGGAGGGGTGGTGAGGACAAACAGTGAAGTGAGACGGAACAAGCAGCTTACTTCGTGTCCTCCTCGTTGCTATGCTCCACGTTTCCCATCATGCCTGGGATGGGAGAAAGGGGGGAGGAAGTGGGGGAAGGAGCGCGGCAAAAGGATGGTCACATGGGGGCAAAGCAAGAGAAGCATAATTCGTGTCCTCCTCCCTGCTGTAGTCATGAAACCCCACGCACGCTCACCATGCAACCCCGTGCATGCGTCCACGCCTAATAATACTCATGCCTCAATGCCTATCCTGGCCTCTGCGCCTATCGCTGCATTTCTTGGAAGACCTGCGTGAAACGCAAGTCGCCAGCACGCCTACCGCCATGCGTCTATGCCATGCCACCACATGCGCCTAGACATGGTTAAAATGCGATGCGATGCGATATCGCATCGCTGCAAAATTCTGTTTCAAAAACTGACGGGAGAATGAGATATTGTGGGCCCTCTCTGATGTAGAGCGTGTTAGAGGGGCAGGGGTTGGATTCTGTAGATGCGCAGGGATTTAGTGCGGTTGAAGTGGTGAAATTGGTTGGAGTTCCAACCAAATGACTTAGTGAGGGTCGAGATTTCAATCAACCTCCTAAATCCCTTTAACCGCACACCACCACATTCCATCCACCACCGCCCATGTCAAAAAAAAAAAACGCAATCGCAAAATGTGATAAAACGCGATGCGATGCGATTTACCCATGTCTACATGCGCCCATCACGCCACGCCATGCATTCATGTTACGCCATGCATTCATGTTACGCCATCATTCATGTTATGCCATGCATTCATGCTACGCCATGCATTCATGTTACGCCATGCATTCATGTTACGCCATCATTCATGTTACGTCATGCATTCGTGTTACGCCATGCATTCATGCTACGCCATGCATTCATGTTACGCCATGCATTCGTGTTACGCCATGCATTCATGTTACGCCATGCATTCATGCTACGCCATGCATTCGTGTTACGCCATGCATTCATGTTACGCCATGCATTCATGTTACGCCATGCATTCATGTTACGCCATGCATTCATGTTACGCCATGCATTCATGTTACGCCATGCATTCATGCTACGCCATGCATTCATGTTACGCCATGCATTCGTGTTACGCCATGCATTCGTGTTACGCCATGCATTCATGTTACGCCATGCATTCATGTTACGCCATGCATTCATGTTACGCCATGCATTCATGTTATGCCATGCATTCGTGTTACCCTATAACAGCACTCAACACCACACGCCTACCGTTGCTCTCCTTGAAGACCTGTGCAAAGCACACGTCGCCTGCACGCCGCATGTGATCCTGATGGGGGCCAGACAGAGAGAGGGAGACGCAATGCGGGGAGAGGGTGAGAGGGAGAAGCGCAATGTGGGGATGGAGGGGCATTGCACGGATGGCGAAAGGACCTGTGCAAAGGACCTGGGCCACAGAGGCGTGGGGAAAGAGGAGAGGGTGGGGGAGCATCAGGGGAGGAGGGCGAGTGAAGAGCGAGTGAAGAGCGAGTGGAGAGCAAGTGAAGAGCGAGTGAAGAGCGAGTGAAGAGCGAGTGAAGAGCGAGTGAAGAGCGAGTGAAGAGCGAGTGAAGAGCGAGTGAAGAGCGAGTGAAGAGCGAGTGAAGGCGAGTGAAGAGCGAGTGAAGAGCGAGTGAAGAGCGAGTGAAGAGCGAGTGAAGAGCGAGCGAAGAGCGAGTGAAGAGCGAGTGCAGAGCGAGAGAAGAGCGAGTGAAGAGCGAGTGAAGAGCGAGTGAAAGAGCGAGAAAGAGCGAGTGAAGAGCGAGAGAAGAGCGAGTGAAGAGCGAGTGAAGAGCGAGTGAAGAGCGAGTGAAGAGCGCGTGAAGAGCGAGTGAAGAGCGAGAGAAGAGCGAGTGAAGAGCGAGTGAAGAGCGAGAGAAGAGCGAGTGAAGAGCGAGTGAAGAGCGAGAGAAGCGCGAGTGAAGAGCGAGAGAAGAGCGAGTGAAGAGCGAGTGAAGAGCGAGTGAAGAGCGAGTGAAGAGCGAGTGAAGAGCGAGTGAAGAGCGAGTGAAGAGCGAGTAAGGCGAGTGAAGGCGAGTGAAGAGCGAGTGAAGAGCGAGTGAAGAGCGAGTGAAGGCGAGTGAAGGCGAGTGAAGAGCGAGTGAAGAGCGAGTGAAGAGCGAGTGAAGAGCGAGTGAAGAGCGAGTGAAGAGCGAGTGAAGAGCGAGTGAAGAGCGAGTGAAGAGCGAGTGAAGAGCGAGTGAAGAGCGAGAGAAGAGCGAGTGAAGAGCGAGAGAAGAGCGAGTGAAGAGCGAGTGAAGAGCGAGTGAAGGGCGAGTGAAGAGCGAGTGAAGAGCGAGTGAAGAGCGAGTGAAGGGCGAGTGAAGAGCGAGAGAAGAGCGAGTGAAGAGCGAGTGAAGAGCGAGTGAAGAGCGAGTGAAGAGCGAGTGCAGAGCGAGAGAAGAGCGAGTGAAGGGCGAGTGAAGGGCGAGTGAAGAGCGAGTGAAGAGCGAGTGAAGAGCAAGTGAAGGCAAGTGAAGAGCGAGTGAAGAGCGAGTGAAGAGCGAGTGAAGAGCGAGTGAAGAGCGAGTGAAGAGCGAGTGAAGAGCGAGTGAAGGCGAGTGAAGGGCGAGTGAAGAGCGAGTGAAGAGCGAGAGAGAGCGAGTGAAGAGCGAGTGAAGAGCGAGAGAAGAGCGAGTGAAGAGCGAGTGAAGAGCGAGTGAAGAGCGAGTGAAGAGCGAGTGAAGAGCGAGTGAAGAGCGAGTGAAGAGCGAGTGAAGAGCGAGTGAAGAGCGAAGGGCGAGTGAAGGCGAGTGAAGAGCGAGTGAAGAGCGAGTGAAGAGCGAGTGAAGGCGAGTGAAGGGCGAGTGAAGAGCGAGTGAAGAGCGAGTGAAGAGCGAGTGAAGAGCGAGTGAAGAGCGAGTGAAGAGCGAGTGAAGAGCGAGTGAAGAGCGAGTGAAGAGCGAGTGAAGAGCGAGAGAAGAGCGAGTGAAGAGCGAGAGAAGAGCGAGTGAAGAGCGAGTGAAGAGCGAGTGAAGGCGAGTGAAGAGCGAGTGAAGAGCGAGTGAAGAGCGAGTGAAGGCGAGTGAAGAGCGAGAGAAGAGCGAGTGAAGAGCGAGTGAAGAGCGAGTGAAGAGCGAGTGAAGAGCGAGTGAAGAGCGAGAAGAGCGAGTGAAGGCGAGTGAAGGCGAGTGAAGAGCGAGTGAAGAGCGAGTGAAGAGCGAGTGAAGGGCGAGTGAAGAGCGAGTGAAGAGCGAGTGAAGAGCGAGTGAAGAGCGAGTGAAGAGCGAGTGAAGAGCGAGTGAAGGCGAGTGAAGAGCGAGTGAAGAGCGAGTGAAGAGCGAGTGAAGAGCGAGTGAAGAGCGAGTGAAGAGCGAGTGAAGAGCGAGTGAAGAGCGAGTGAAGAGCGAGTGAAGAGCGAGTGAAGAGCGAGTGAAGAGCGAGTGAAGCGAGTGAAGAGCGAGAAGAGCGAGTGAAGAGCGAGTGAAGAGCGAGTGAAGAGCGAGTGAAGAGCGAGTGAAGAGCGAGTGAAGAGCGAGTGAAGAGCGAGTGAAGAGCGAGTGAAGAGCGAGTGCAGGAGAGTGCACGCCAGGGCACGCCAGGGCATGCGAGGGCACACGAGGGCACACGAGGGCACACGACGGCACACCACGGCACACAAGGGCAGACGAGGGCACACGACGGCAGACGAGGGCAGACGAGTGCTGCGAGTGCTGAGAGCGCATGAGAGCGCATGAGAGCGCATGAGAGCGCATGAGCGCATGAGCGCATGAGAGCGCATGAGAGCGCATGAGAGCGCATGAGCGCATGAGCGCATGAGAGCGCATGAGAGCGCATGAGAGTGGACGCCAATGCTCACCTTGAGATCTTGCCAGGAAGCGGAGGTGGGGAGATTTTTCACAATGACTGCAAACAGGTGGGGCATGAGAAACAGAATCCACGCAACCGGCGCACACACACGCACAAGCACAAGCACATGCACACGCACATGCACATGCACATGCACAAGCACATGCACACGCATAGGCGCGCACAAGAAAACGGAACAGAGATGACTGTACACGAAAGGCATATTGATGATGATGCTAATCTTATCATCCTAAGAAAGGAAATCTGAGTGCATAACTTATAGCGGAGACAAGCCAGCAAAGTAGGGGGCAGGGGGGGGGGGAGGGGGGGGGGGGGACTCAAAATTTACTTTCCTCGGTTCTCAGTCGTTCGTGAACCATCAACATCGCATGCCCAAACTGCTTGCCACCAACCAACGCACCGCGGTACTCAGTCCTTCGAGACAGCCTGGTCCCCCCCCACCCCTCCCCAGCTGGAAATCGCCGTGGTGATCGCCAACCGCCCCCGCAGCACCCACCAACATGCCATGCCCTAACTGCTTGCCTTCCTACAACGCACCGCGGTACTCCGTCCTGCGAGACGGCCCGCCCCCGCGCGGCTGGAAATCGCCGCGGCGATCCCCGAAGCTGCCGCCCCCGCCGACCACCATGCGCCAGCTCCACGCGCAGCCTGTTGCCATCGAAGTCGTAGCCGTCTCGACCCCTTATGGCATCCTCTGCATCCCTGGGGTCCGCGAACTGCCAGGGGGGAACAGGTACCGGGAAAAGGGGGGGGGGGGGGGACAGCAGCAAGAGAGGGGGATGTGAGCCGCGGCCGCCATGCGCCAGCTCCACACGCAGCCTGTGGCCGTCTCGACCCCTTATGGCGTCGTCTGCATCCCGTGGGTCGGCGAACTGCCAGGGGGGGAACAGGAGGGATAGGGGCGCCAGAGGGGATAGGGGGAGCAGGGGAATAGGGGTGGCAGGGGGGATAGCAGGGGGATAGGGGTAGCAGGGGGGATGGCAGGGGGGTTAGGGTAGACCTGAAGAACCAAATACGAATTCGAGTTCGAGTTCCACATTCGAATAATTGTCGAATATCACGATACAAATTATTTGTTCGAGTGTGTTTGGAATTCAAATACGAATTCGAGTCGAATAGAGTCGAGTCCGAGTCGAATACGAATGCACTCGAGTTTTGGGCATATGAGCGTTTACAAGCTTTGTGAAGTTACCCTTGGAGTTTGTTGTCGGTTTTTGGGCGTTGCCGTGCTTGCAGGTTTGCACAAGAAATTGGAGGGGTTGTACAAGTGGCAAGTGAAGCTTTTAGCAGCATCGCGTAGCATCGAAAGCATTAGGACCTTTGATGCTAGGCAATTCAATGCTAGTAGGAGCCAGGTATGTCCAAACTCGGAGTACTAAAACGAGTACTCGAGTTATGGCTGGGCGAAGACGAATTCGAGTCGAATATTGGAAGTCGAGTTTTGGCGAGTTTGAACAGCCACATAGACTCGATTTGTATTTGAAATTCGTCCGAATTCGAATACAAATTCGAATATAGTCTACTCGTTTTCAGGTCTAGGTTAGGGATAGCAGGAGGGATAGCAGGGGGGGAAATGAGGGGGGAGGTAACAAAGAGATGAGGCGACTCAACAGCCATGCGCCCCGTTTTGCTTGTTTGCTCGCTCGCTGCTCGCTTGCTTGCTTGTTTCCGCTCATGCCTCTGCAGCACGCTCACACTCTAATGCACTCCCACGCTCCCACACGCTCGCGCTTGGACATTGCAAAGCAAACGAGGCGAATGGCTCCCAGACTCTCACGCTCCCACGCTCCCACGCTCACCTCCACAAACGCGAAGCCAGGGGGGCGAGGCGGGAGCTTGAGCTCGATGTCGAGAATCTTGCCGTACTGCGGAAAGGGAAGAACGGAAAGCAGGAGGCGGGGAACGCAAGGGGAAGGGATATGACGGTTCTGAGACGTGCGCCCACAAAGGCTTAGCCACGCGGACGAGCGGGAGCTTGGGCTCGATACGGAGAATACTGCCGTGCTGCGCACGCGAAGAGAGGGGAAAACAGGAGAGGGAAAACAGGAGAGGGGAAAACAGGAGAGGGGAAAGCAAGAGAGGGGAAAACAGGAGAGGGGAAAACAAGAGAGGGGAAAACAGGCGAGGGGAAAACAAGAGGGAAAACAGGAGAGGGGAAAACAGGAGAGGGGAAAACAAGAGAGAGGAAAACAAGAAGACGGGAAAACAGGAGAGGGGAAAACAAGAGAGAGGAAAACAAGAGAGGGGAAAACAGGAGAGGGGAAAACAGGAGGGGAAAAAACAGGAGAGGGGAAAACAGGAGAGGGGAAAACAAGAGAGGGGAAAACAAGAGAGGGGAAAACAGGAGAGGGGAAAACAAGAGGGGAAAACAGGAGAGGGGAAAACAGGGGAGGGGAAAACAAGAGAGGGGAAAAACAGGGGAGGGGAAAACAAGAGAGGGGAAAACAGGAGAGGGGAAAAACAGGAGAGGGGAAAGGCAAGAGAGAGGAAAACAAGAGGGAAAACAGGAGAGGGGAAAACAAGAGAGGGGAAAACAGGAGAGGGGAAAACAGGAGAGGGGAAAACAAGAGAGGGGAAAACAGGAGAGGGGAAAACAGGAGAGGGGAAAAACAGGAGAGGAAAACAGGAGAGGGGAAAACAGGAGAGGGAAAACAGGAGAGGGGAAAACAGGAGAGGGGAAAACAGGAGAGGGAAAACAGAGAGGGAAAACAGGAGAGGGGAAAACAGGAGAGGGAAAGCAAGAGAGAGGAACAAAACAAGAGAGGGGAAACAGGAGAGGGGAAACAGGAGAGGGGAAAACAGGAGAGGAAAACAGGAGAGGGGAAAACAGGAGAGGGGAAAACAGGAGAGGGGAAAACAGAGAGGGAAAACAAGAGAGGGGAAAACAAGAGAGGGGAAAACAGGAGAGGGGAAAACAGAGAGGGAAAACAAGAGAGGAAAACAGAGAGAGAGGGAAAACAAGAGAGGGGAAAACAGAGAGGGGAAAACAGAGAAAACAAGAGAGGGAAAACAGGAGAGGGGAAAACAGAGAGGGAAAACAGGAGAGGAAAACAGGAGAGGGGAAAACAGGAGAGGAAAACAGGAGAGGGAAAACAGGAGAGGGAAAACAGGAGAGGGGAAAACAGAGAAAAAAAGAGGGGAAAACAAGATAGGGGAAAACAAGAGAGGGGAAAAAAGGAGAGGGGAAAACAAGAGGCCAGGAACGCAAGGGAATGAGGCAGCAAGGCTCTGAGATGTGAGTTACGCCTCGCGGACGAGGCGGACGAGGCGGTCGCTTCAGCTCGACGTCGCGAATCTTGGCGTACTGCAGCAAGGAAGAGAAAGAGGAGAGAGGGAAACCAGGAACGGAGGGAAACAAAAAAAACGGACGGTTCAGGGCGGCCTAACCAACCATACAGCCCTTTACAGTCACATAGATCCACTATCCTCACTATAAGCATATACGTTCCGCACCTTAGAGAGAGGAGTTCCTCCGCTTCGCTCCCCCGCGTGTCGCCTCGCCGGGCAGGTTGCCCACATAAACCGCGCGATGGACCCCGGCCACACAACCCGTTACAGTCACTTACACTGTCTCCGTTACAACCCCGTTACAACCGAATCTCCCAGCACCTTAGCAAATACGTCCTCCACTTCGCTCTCCCGTGTGTCGCCGCGCAGGTTGCCCACGTACACCGTGCGATGCGCGCTCCACACATGCAACCCGATACTGCCAGGTCCACCTACCCCCGTTATAAGCGCATCCCGTTACCTTAGCGAAGAGGTCCTCCACCTCGCTTTCCCGCGTGTCACCGGGGAGGTTGCCCACGTACACCGTGCGATGCGCGCGACCGCTCATGCTGTGGCTCATCAACGGCCGACAAAGGCCTCAGATCGACTTTGGAAAGGCGAGGGGGGAAGGAGGGGCGATGGAAGGGGTGGGGCGGGGGAGGGCAGGAGGGGAGGGGAGCAAGAGCATTCCAGTTGTCAATCGAGAACGCGAAGGATCTTGGGAAGAGGCAAGCGTGTAGTATGCTTATATCCGGGAACACGCATATTTACGATCTGAAGCCTTCGTCACAGTCACAGCACCTCGTACGCGTTTTTCCCTTCCGGCTACCCCTTATAACTATTAATCCGAGTTCCCCGAGTTGATACGACGGCAGACAGAGCGACGGCACACAGAACGACGGCAGTAAACAGCTGGTCCGCACACGCTACAACGACAAACGACGAACGGGCAATCTACGCTCGCTTCGCCCTCCAAGCTCTGGTCGACAGTCGCTGGAAACGGACTACACATACTAGAGCATATTCTGTCCTAGGAAAAAACGGAATGTTACTGCGGAAAGTAGCAAGGGAGGGTTCAGACCGCATAGAAGACGGCTCGAAGGCCCCCTCCTTAATGCTCCCTCCATATAAGGTCCAAAGCTCCCTCCTTATAAGATCCAAAGCTCCCTCCTTATAAGGTCCAAGCTCCATCCTTAGAGATCCAAGGCTCCTCGTTAAAACGTCCAAAGCTCCCTCCCGATATTGTCCAAAGCTCCATCCACTAGCCGTCCATCGCTACCAGATTAACGGCGCAGGTGGAGCAGTGCAAACACAAACCACCCCTCCCTCCCCCCCTCGAATGCTCCAAGCATCGCTAAATAAAGCAAGAACAAAGAATAGGCTAGTGCGCATAAGGAAATGCATGGTGCGAAGCGGACACGAGAAAAATATCTACGAAACGTACGGAAGCGAGGACGGCGAGAAAATCAACGGAATGCGTTGGATTGCATTCGAAAGCACTCCCTAAAAGAAAGGTGGAGAAAGGAGAGAGAAAAATCACCTGGAGGTTTGCAACGGTGGGGTGTGAGTTGTGAATCGGATGGTCTTCAGCACGTAGCGATGGTACGGATTCTAGAAGCACGCTCAGCGAGTGAAGCGGGGATGCCTGCACAGACTAAAACCTGCTCTATGAGCCACCGGCACAATAGTAGTGAGACGCAGAGATGCAGAAAATGGAAGGTAGGGTTTTGATTCGACCCCTTTCCTTCAGGGCTTGGCGCAACCAGGTTCTGGTTCTTTTGCGCGTGTCTTGGCTGGTTCGCAGAGAAGAACCGAATCCGAGGGTTCGATGCAGCAGCAAACCAGCCAATCTCCATTCCTGGGGAGTAGTTACGACAGGTTATCCGGTATACATTTGGGTGTTAAAACTGTGTTGCGCGCAGAAGAACCAGATGCGCCACGCCCTCACTCCGCTGCTTTGTCAACAGCACGAAGCCGTTTGAGCCTAGGGACAGTTACCCCCCCCCCGTGAGAACTTGTTGGCTGCGTTCTGCAGGCCAAAGTGGAAGGTGCTGATTACATTAGAGCACCTTCTGAAAGCGTGATCTTTTGCCTCGGATCGAGAGTCAGCCCGAAAAAATCCTCCCAAACCTCGCACAATGTACCCGAACCTAGTTACGCCGAGATGCCTGCAGAACGGGTCCACCTCCAGATGACATCGACGTCATGGAAGCACCCCCCTTCGCTTCCCTACCTGGCAAATCTGATGCAGACTTGACACAACGTTGACGTTTGCTCAATCACGGAGTCCAGCTTGCGTGCGGCGTTACATCAGGCCGCTCGGGTGTACTAGGCCTCCACACCCTCAAAATGCAACCGCCAAAGCTTGACCCCACCTTGCGAACTTGGGCCTGCCCTGCAAAGCAAACATCAGCTGCGCATAGTGTCGTTTGGTGAGCGCATTCTCACCAAACCCTAGATTATTATTTTTTGCATTTTCCCCCCGAATATTTCTCATCCTGCCTTGGGGCTGCAGGTTTTTGTTGCGCAATTTCGGAATTCGCTCCTCTCTCCTTTCGCGTGCGAATTCCGCAATTTGGTCGTGTGGCTTCCGAGCGAGGCTCGGAAAGTGCACCTCGTTTGGGTGGTAACCAGTGCTCGTGAAATCGCTTGAAGAGCTTCCTCAATGTCGACAATGAGTGCCTACAGAACCCAGCCATTATGTGTTATCATAATCTCCAGATAGGAGTCTGATTAAAACCACACGCTAAAAAGTACACCGTGGGCTCCCTTGATTTTTTTTATTTTATTTTTTTTCGGAATAAACGACCCAAACTAGAGCACACCCCACCAAGCATAACGAAAAGAAGTGTGTTGCGATAATTTGAAACATAGCAAGAGGGCCATGGCGCACCAAGCACCCCCTCGACTTCGACGAAACATGGCGCGACAAGAACCGAAGTCGCACAACTCAACTAGATCTACTTTTGTGCGACTACAAAGTCGAACCCGTCGTTCAAGAGCTCCAAGGGTGTGCTTCACGTTTCTAAAGAGGAGGTTAACCCACAGTAACACAAGGTTAGGAACCCATAGCCGCCACAGCACGGGACAAAAAACAAAACCGCCGCGCGCATCGACGACCAACCCACACGCGAATGGGGAGAAGCTTTCAAAAAACAAGCTGGAGACTAGGACATGCGTCATACCGCCACGCAAAAAGGGACGAGCTAAACGCGGCGGAAACTAGCCTGGGAAGTCGTCGTTTGCGATGCGAATCTAGGGTAAGACCCGCCAGTAGGAACTGGAGCAAAACACATAAATATAGTCGGAGTTAAACTGTGCGGGCCACAAGGAGAGGGGGTCGCGGATAGCGAGGAGATCGGGGGACGCATTGCAAGGAGAGGGGGAATGGATGGCGAGGATAGGGGGAAAGGACAGCGAGGATAGGGGGAACGGATGGCGAGGATAAGAGGAACGGACGGCGAGGATAGGGGGAACGGACGATGAGGGTAGGGGGAACGGACAGGGGTGAGGGGGAGAGGGAGGAGAGACGTGAACAGATGGCGCGAAGAGGGAGGATGGACAGCGAGGATAGGGGGAACAGACGGCGAGGATAGGGGGAACAGACGGCGATGATAAAGGGAACGAATGGCGAGGATAGGGGGAACGGGCGACGAGGATAGGGGGAACAGACGGCGGGGATATGGGGAACGAACGGCGAAAGGTAGGGTGAACGGACGGCGAGGATAGGGGGAACGGAGGGCGAGGATAGGGGGGCAAGGATAGGGGGAACGGAGGGCGAGCATAGGGGGAACGGAGGGCGAGGATAGGGGGAACGGGGACGAGCAGAGGCGGCGCAGATGGCACGGTGAGGGAGGGACGGAGCCGCGTGAGGTTGGGGGTATGGGGAGGGTGAACGGTGTGGGAGAGGGTGACGGAAGGCGGATGAGAGGGCGGGGAGAGGCGGGTGACGTGCCGAGAGGAGGCGGATGGGGGGGCGAGGAAAGGGGTAATCGAGGGCATAGAAGAGGATGAGTTGGAGGGGGAAGGCGGATGGGAGGGCGACGAGAGGCGGACGAGAGGTCGTGGAATGGTGGGCAGGAGGGACACGAGAGAGGAATGAGAGGGGGGAGACGCTGCAGATGTTAGGGTGAGGAGAGTAAAATATGTGCAGAAAAGAGGGGGATGGCAGGGTGTGTACAAGGAAGGGGGACGGGTTTGGGAGAGGGTGAGGAGCTGATGACAAGGAGATATGGGTGAGGAGATTAGGAGATGAGGGCTCAGAGAGAGGGTGGACTGTGCATAGAGAGAGGGGGAGAGGGGAAGAGGATTGGGGTAACCGAGGGCGAGGAGAGAGGGAGGAGAGTGTATATAGAGAGGAGGAGAGAGGAAGGGGAGCGGTGTAACTGAGTGCGAGGAGAGAGGGAGTAGAGTGCATGGAGAGAGGAGGATAGAGGAAGAGGAGAGGGGTACCCAAGGGCGAGGAGAGAGGGAGGAGAGAGCATAGAGAGAGTGGGAGAGTGGAAGAGGAGAGGGGGTACCGAGGGTGGGGAGAGATGTGGGAGAGGGTGAGGGAGGGCACATGAGAGGGCGGGAATATTCCTAAATTTGTTTCGGGGGTCATAATCCCGAGTCAGATTCCCGAGTCAGAGTCCCAAGTCAGATTCCCAAGTCAGGGGGGAACGCGCAGGGGATTGAGAGGGAGTGAGGCAATACGCGAGGGGAGTGGACAGGGGGGGACGCACAGGGGGATTGGGAGGGAGTGAGGCACTACGGGAGGGAATCGGACAGGGGGGGACACACAGGGGGATTGGGAGGGGTAGGCACTACAGAAGGGGAGTGGACAGTGGGGAACGCGCAAGGGGATTGGGAGGGAGTGAGGCACTAAGAGAGGGGAGCAGACAGGGGGGGACGCGCCAGGGAAGAGTGAAGGAGCGAGGCACTCCGGGAGCGGAGCAGACAGGGGGAGACGCGACGGGGACGAAGGAAGGAGAGAGGCACTACGGGATGGGAGCGGATAGGGGGGGACACGCCGGGGAAGAGGGAAGGAGCGATGCACTATGGGAGGGGAAAGGACAGGGGGGGACGCGACGACCTCAGCCGTGCGTGGAAAATGTGTCCAGGCGGGATTTGAACCTCGCTCTGATACTAGTATAACGCCTCGCTACCCACAGGGTCAAAACGAGGTTACCAAGAGGCGTAGCGGAATGCGTTTACAATCTCTAGGGTAATTTCTGTCCGCAGACGTTACACTCGTCCCCCCCTGGTGCCAACGTCCTCGTTGGTTTCCAAGGAGTCGGCCCTCGCAAGGACCTGTTCGCTAAAGGGCAGCAGCGACTTCGCTGGTGGGCAAGGCCAGCAGCTAAGATCGTTCGCTGGGTTAGCAACTGGATACAACCACAGCTGTACTTTCGCACATTCGAGTTCTCACCACGACCTCCGCCGTGCGCGGTAAATGTGTCCAGACAGGACTCGAACCCTAAGTTATGATACCAGTATAACGCCTCGCTACCCACTGGGTCAAAATAAGGTTACCGAGAGGCGCAACGGAATGCATTTACAATCTCTAGGGTAATTTCTGTCCGCGGACGTTACAGATGGGGAAGAAGAAAGGAGAGAGGCACTACGGGAGGGGAGGCGATGAGGAGGAGGCACGGCGGGAATTATGGTGGGTTAGAGGCACCACGGTAGGGCCTCTTCCGCGACAGGAAAGAGGTCGCGAGAGAGGGACAGCAGGAGGGGGGCGAATGTTTTCACATTGCTGCGCGTGGCTCGTCGGTGGCGTCGATGCTTTGCCCTGCCATTCACGGTTGACCTCCCGTCCCCACAGATATCCACCCTCTCAGCGGGTCTCAGTCGTTTCATCTGGCTGGTCGTCTTGGGCACTCCGATTCCCGTCCGCCGCTCCAATGCACGTAACTGCTATGCCGTTGCGCCTTTCTTGGCTTACTAACATGCGTCAGCGGTTGATGTTGCGGCTCGTTTTTTTCTCTGCGTTCTATGTTTAGGTGGTTCGATTTCGATCGCGCTCGTGACCCTGCACCCTGTTATGCCATCATCGTGCCTGTGTTTTTGCCGCGTACTGGCGCGATGTGCATGCCTCGGTTGGGAACTCGTAACTTCCTCACACCCTTATCCACTCGGCTTTCACTTCCCATGCCCGTCACGTCTCTTCCCCACCATTGGTGAGGGTGAGGGGGTAATCCAGTCCCACAGTGCCGCGGTTGGATTCTGTACGATACACATGATTTCGCCGCCTGTTTTACGAACTTCGGATTTCGTTCATGGTGTGTCCGTCATGTAGATTGGTGTTATGAATGCGCTCTGTCGCCTTTGTTGTTTCCATTGTATACTTGAGGCTATTTGTCATCCCAGGTGTTTGTCGCCTGTCGTAGGCATGGTTTCGCACCTCGAATTGTATTTTCCGCTTCACGGGTTGCCCCGAAAGTGTTGCGCATAGCAACCCATTTTGTTTCCAAGTTTCCTCTAGAATGCCCATCTTCAAGATCGGCGTTCTTGAAGCCTCCCCTGTGCAATTTTAGCCAGTGGTTTTAATGCAATAGTGAGGTCGTGATTAAAGTTTGTCGAATATAAATGAGGCCCAAGGCTAAATACTAGCACAACTAACCTAGCAAGGGAGCCTCGAGGAAGGCCACGAAACACACGTGATGTGGTTTGGGCGCCTCGGGACTCGGAATTGTCGGACGCGATGCCGCGTGTAGGCTTGGGGGTCTCAAATGTAGTTCGAACCTAAGATGTCAGGCCGAGCTTGGACTTCCAAAAGTCAGGGTTTTACTTGCTGTTAGCGAGGCTCGATAAGGGAAGAAGGGATTTTCCTTACACCTTCCCCCCTCCTATATGAGACTACCCACATCCGGGGTAGCTCGAGCGTGTAAATAGGCCTGCACCAGCGGGTGGTTGTCGAGGGTAGCGGCTGGGACCCACATGTCGTCGTCGCACGTACGGTCAACCCAGCGAACCAGAAACTCCAAAACCCGTTGAGCTTGGCCGCGGCGGATTCTGTGGGAGAGGATCTGCTGTTGGCTCGGAGACGGGCCTGATCGAAGGATAGAGTCGTTGACGGTTGAGATCAGCCGTATTCGCGACGAGCTGTCGAAGGAGGCTGGCGTGAAATGAATCATGGATACGCCGGTCGTCCGATAACAGTAACTTGGCAGTGACAGGTGTCATCATTCGAACAATTCGGAATGGCCCTCAGAATCTTGAGCGAAGTCCTCAACCCTAAATTCTTGGTGTCCAGAAGGACTAGTTGCCTAGGATATAGGGGTAAATCTCGTCTATGCTTGTCAGCGTACTATTTGGCAGTAAGGTTGGCTTTTGAAATAACCTCGGTAGCATTTTTCTTTGCAGTCTGTAAGTCCTTGACGAACTGTTGCGACCATGGGGCGGGACTCTCAACTAAGGGTGTAGTGGGACTCGTGGGGTTTAGACCGTAATTTAGGTAGAAGGGTGATTGGGTAGTTGTGGACGGAGGGGCGCTGTTATACGCGAACTTCCCATTGGGTCAGGTCGGTACAGATTGTCCGTATCAGCTGCTCCATGGTCTGATTTGTCAGTTCAGTCTGACTGTCGGTCTGTGGGTGGTGAGCCGTGGACAGATGGAGACGTGTACCGTAGTGTTCCCATATTTTTGTCCAGAAGTTGGACGTAAATCTGGGGCCACGATCAATTATGATCACCTTTAAGATTACGTGTAGGCGAACGGCGGTTGAGATGAACAGCTTGGTAGTTTGCTCGGCTGTGATCGTCGTTCGGCATGGCGCGAAATGAGCCATTTTCTTGAGTCCATCAACAACCACGAATACAACATCATTTTGGGATGCGCCAGCCGACAATCCTGTCACGAAGTCTATGGACACATTTGTCCAAAGCTTTGTGGGCGATTCTAACGGTTGCTGTAATCCAGTTGGCTTTTGGCGAGAGGATTTCATCAGTTGGCCGGTGGGGCATAAGGCCACGTATTGCTGTACGTCATGGCTCGCATTCGGTTAGTAATAATGATGTTGAAGCATTTTCAAGTTTTATCAACCCTGAAATGTCTGGAGCAATTAGCGTTATGAACCTCCTATAACAGTAATTCCTCTAAGAGTTGGTAGGATGGAACACAAATTCGATCAGTACCAGTTTTTAGGTGGTAGTGGCCTCGTTGAGTGGTTATGGCCTGGTGGCCATTAGAGGTGACGAGGGGATTAGTATTGTAGCCATGGGCAAATAGTTTAGTTTGCAGCGGATTTGCTTGGGCAATTAGTACGGCGGCTGTATGAGAAGTAGGGCGAGAAAGGGCATCGACAATATTATTTGCCCCTTTTTTGTAGGTGATGCGGTAATGGAAGTTGGACTTGAGATATTCGAGCCAACGAATCTTACATGGATTCAGGGTTGGTTGGGCACGGAGGAATTGTAGGGACTTGTGGTCTATTCGGACAGTAACGACTTGTAGTAGTGCCAGGTCTTGAAAGCATTGACAATCACGAGCATTTCCTTGTTGCGAACCGGGTAATTCCGTTCGGCGCCTTGGAGTTTTCGCGAGTCGTAGGCGATTGGCTGCAGGCCTTCGCCAAAGCTCTGTAATAGTACCGCGCCAACAGCAATGTCGCTGGCGTTTGTAACCAGTTCGTACGGGCGGTCAGGGTCGGCGATATGAAGAATAGGTGGTGTCATAAGGAAAGTTTTCAGTTGGTCAAACGCAGCTTGCTGCCTCTTCCCCCATTCATAAAACACCCTTTTTGCAGCAAGTCGGTTAGTGGGGCAGTTGACTCCGCCATTTTAGGGATAAAACGGCGCACGTAGTTGATAAATCCCAGAAAACTCTGCAACTCCTTGACGTTGGTAGGCGGCTCCCAGTTGCGAATGGTATCGATTTTTTTTTATCAATATTAGTGCCTTCGGTTGAGATGACGTGGCCCAAGAAATCCAGCTCCTCCTTTAAGAACTCGCACTTAAAACCTTTGGTGATGAGTCGGTGTTGATTGCAGAGGGTAAAAATGGCTTGCAAGTCCTTCAAATATTGTTCCCGAGTGGTGCTATACACCAGGATGTCATCTAGGTAGACACTGACGCACTTGTCCAGTAGCAAGCAGAAGAATTCGTTCATGGTCAGTTGAAAATTTGAGGTGCGTTTGTCAACTCGAAAGGCATCGCTGTATACTCATAACTTCCGTAACGAGTTCGAAAAGCGGTCTTTGGAACTTCAGCTTCGGCCACACGAATCTGGTGGTAACCCCCTCGCACATCAATCTTGGAAAAAATCCTGGCCCTGTGAAGTTGGTCAATAAGATCGTCGGCGTGGAAACGGGTAACACGACTTGATGGTAATGTTGTTGAGCAAGCGATAGTCGGTACACATCCAAAGTCCTCCGTCCTTTTTGGGGGTGAAGAGAATCGGCGCGGCGTAGGGAAACATGGATGGACGGATGATTTTTTTCCCTAGCAGATAGTACAGTTGCGTACGCAGCTCTATTAGCTCCGGTTGACTCAGCCTCTATTGCGATCGGATGGTTGGTCGCGCTCCCGGTTCCAACTCAATCATGTGATTGTGTGGTCATTCGGGTGGTAGGTCGGGTGGCAGATCGTCGCGAAACATCTTCTCAAATTTGCACATGATCTTCGCCAGGTCCTCAAGTACAGCAGCACACAGCTTCCACAGGCCGGATTGTTCAGCCACCTCCGCAAATGCGATCCATCGGATGGCGTAGACATCCACGCCACATGCCATCACGCATTTGATAGTCACATTGTTCACTAGTATTGACTGTGGGTCGGGTGGTTTCCACTTCGGCAATCGTCTCCACTTGCCACCCCACTTCAAACGAATGTCGCCATTCCACCAATCGATGCTCGAATTGTACGTGCGAAGCCAATCGCACCCCAGGAGCACATCGCAGCTTCTTCGCTCTTGGTACTTAGTTCAAACAGTGTGATGCTCCGCCATCCTAGAATTTTTTTAATCTTGTCTTGCCAATGCGCCCTTCCACCAGCATAGGGCAATCAACAGGTTCACTCCCCTTTGACTGGGTGTGGTCGATCGCATAGATCGGCACTACTACTGTAGCCTCATCAGTAGGGGGCCCGAATGCTACTGATGCTGTCCATTTCCCCACTTCCTTCAGTCGTTAGCTCCCGATTTTCACAACTCCGAACAGTCCCGCATGATGTGCCCCGGCTGGCCGCATTTATAACACAAGCCAGAAAATCTGTCATCTAACGATGCTGCCCGCCGTTGATGGATGGGTAAAATTTCTGCCCTCGAAAATGACTTCCCTTCTGGAAATTTGTCCTCGGCCATACACTGTTCTCGTCCCACGCCTCTGCGACATGCTACACCTCCAAGAACGTCGTCGGGCGGCGCAAGCGAATTCTCACTGGACCTTCGTCTTCAGCCCTAGGATGCAAGAATTCATTTTCTCCGTCTTGTGTAGGTCGTCGATTTTGTCGTAGATGGAGAGGAAGGATGACGTGTACTCTAGAACAGAGCCAATTTGATGCCATCCGTGCAGCTTCACATGAGCATTTTCGCATGCGGATACATGCTCGAAGCGCTTGCGAAGCTGTGCACCCCACTGTTGCTAGGTAAGGATCTCGGCCACACCGAATAAGGATCATGTAGAAGTTGAAGCCAATTGTTGCTCCCCGTCCATCACTTGTTGCCAGTCTGCCAGAGTCCCTCATGACGTCACGTACTGTCGCCACCAACTTAATGCAGGCTCGCGTAATAAAGACATTGCTAACTTGACGCGTGTCTTATCATTGTTGACATCGGCGACATTAAAGAACAGTTCCATGACGAATAGCCACCCACTCAGCGAGGTGTGCTCCTCTAGTGGATTGAATGGCAGGGGCATTGCAGGTTTTATCTTAGAACTGCCCATCGCTCGCTCGTACTGTCATCACGTATCGCTGACGTCGCCTGCGGTTGATTCGCACTCGCACAATCTTTGTCCACGATAACAGGCGACTCCTGACGCGTCGCACCATGCGCCTGGCGAAGGCTCACATTCTCATCTTTCAATGCGGCGAGCCCCAGGGCCATGACCTCCATCTTCACCACCATTTTGCCAACCTTCGTAGTCATCACTGACGCGCTCGTTGCCGCCTCTGACAGCTCAGCTATTTGCTCGAAAGTCATATTTCTAGCACTACGGCAAGGAGGGATATTGACCATGAATTACCCTAACTAGCGAACGCTACGTTAGAGACGTAGAGTTTGCTAGTTAGGGTAATTCATGGACAATAGCCCTCCTCACCGTGGAGCGCACACGACAAAGTTCCGTCGTCTCTAATGTCAAATTTCCGCCGACTTTGCAATGTTAGAGACGTGGAGCGCATACGACAAAGTCGGCGGAACTGAAGAAGTTCTTGCACGACCATTGGACAGCTCCTGTTTCCTAACATGCAAGGTCCCTCTAAAAAATGCCTCACAACAAGCCTAAATGGGTAGGAACGTAGCTCTGATACCAGCTGTAATGATAATCTCCGGATAGGAGTCGAGTAGTGCAATAGTGAGGTCGTAATTAAAGTGCGTTGAACATAAATGAGGCCCAGGGCTAAATACAAGCACGACTAACCTAGCAAGGGTGCCTCGAGGAAGGCCACGAAACACACGCGAGGTGGTTTGGGCGCCTCGGGACTCGGAAGTGTCGGACGCTATGCCGCGTGTAGGCTTGGGGGTCTCGAACGTAGTTCGGACCTAAGATGTCGGACCAGAGGACCTAAGTCAGAGCTGTACTCGCTATTAGAGAGGCTCTATAGGAATAAGGGATTTTCCTTACATTATGAAAGTGGTACGCAATAAAAACTGCACTTCGTTTTAGAGGTCTAACAATATAGACACACGTCCTGGCTAGGCGATGACCTCGGGAGCCTAGGTTGGTTAGGGGCATGGTTGAAGGGTTGGGAGATAACACGAGCCAGGAGTGGCAATAAATTTGGACCGAGCCTGGCCTTCCAAGTTCGGGTGTACGCGATGCAGTACAGCCCGGTAAGGAATAAAATATCTTCTACTATCCCAATCCTAAGGAGGGTGCTCAATATCGGAACATTTTTCCGGGTCGAATAAGCATTGAGCACCGGATTCTCTTGATTCGAGACCGAAGGGACCCATGTGTCGCATTCGCTAGTGTGCTCTATCCAACAAACTAGGAAATTCACGTGGTGGCTTTTAGGGTCGAGGCAAACCCGATGCCTTAGAATCCTAGACGGCTCGATACTGGGCTCAGCCATGGCCCATACACTTGGAATGGAGTATTGACGAGCGACGTCACTTGTGGCGGTAACGAAGGGCGGAGGAGATTGGCGTCAACTGCGTCGCCTGGATACAAGAAAACGAAGTCCTGAATGTTGCTCAATGAGGACAGGCGGGAAAATGACAAGACAAGCAATTGGAAGAGAAGATCCATGAGCCGAAGGAAGGCCTAGAAGGGCGAGGAGTACCGCATCTCCTGCATTGCTCATGGAAATGTTGATGTTGTTATGGAAGCAACAGCTATCTAAAGCATAACTTGAGCTATTTTCGCCAAAGCTTTGCCACCCTGCAAGACTTAGTCATCTACCTATCTTAGATGCTTGTGACTTTTCATCCTCCAAATGTTTATCCTCCATTCTTCCGCCCATTAGTTGTTCAGGTTAGGTTATCGAGAGAATGATTGACTAAGGGAAAAGTGTCGAGAGGTACAAGAGTTGGCCTGTATCCTCTCAGAACTGACCCACTAGGCGATATACAAATATAACCTAGCTGAACTATATAATTATATTTGTTGACACACCCTTTATCCTAGATAGTGGCAGCTCATAACAGGGAAAAGTACATTAGGGCAGCATTAATAGTCTGACCTCTGGTGAGGGTAACTAGGCAACTCAGGGCAGCACTACTAATCTGACCACTAAGTCAAGAGGCCACAAGGCCAACCAGCAAGTGTAGCAAGGCAAGCAGGTATAGAACAACTAGGTCAAGCAGGTATAGTATGACTCAGGATACAAGGAGCGGTGCTGCTATGGAGATTAGACCAAGCTGAGTATAGAACTACTGATGTCACGAGGTGCAAGTGCCTTGGTCAAGATATCAGAGGTGCGGGCCTCTGAGGCCAGCTGTACCATACGAGCCTGATCGCACTGCTGTAAATCACGTAGCAGGAAGTACCACCGCTGGATGTGCTTCGCCCTGCCCTCAAGTTGAGCCTCCTAACACAAGTCGATCATGGCCCTGTTGTCAACAAACAAGACTGGGGCAGACCTAGGCTGCTCACCTAAGTCAGTGAGCTAGAAATTCAGCCAGCAGAGCTCCGGAGCGGCCATGGCCCCAGCGTAGATCTCTGCCTCACAACTGAACTAAGCTACAGACGACGACCTAGTGGACCTGCATGAGAATGCACCAGCACCAAGACTAAAACAGTAGCCCTGAGACGACCTGAGCATCTCCAAGCCGCCAGCCCACAACGCGTCTGTGTGTCTAGTGAGCACCACTGGCTCCCGTCCTCCTAGCACAAGCCCCAGTCCTGAAGTACTCGCCAGATACCACAGTACCCTCTTGGCAGCCGACCAGGGGACTTGTCGGTGCCTGCCCGTCGCAGCAAAGCGAGCCAGGAGACTGAGAGGGTACGCTAGATCTGATCGAGTGCAAGATATTAGGTACATGAGGCACCCCATCAGCTCTGCGTATGGACCACTAGCCTTGACCAGCTCAGTCGGAACAGGAGCAGAGAGCTTGTGATCCACATGCAGAGGGGTGGGCTATGCTGAGGAGAACTGGAGACTGAACCTCTGGAGGATCCGCTACACCATATGGGACTGGGAGAGTGTGATCGTCCGAGCGGCACGGTCACGAGAGTTCTCCAAGCCAGGTCTGTACAAGTGTGCCTCCTAAGTAACTTGGCCTTCACCGAGGCCAGTGCGTCTCTGTCATGAGTAGCAAAGGTAAAATTGTCAATGTACACTACGATGTAGAATGGGGTCTGGCCAGTACGGACAAATAGCGAGGGGTCAACAGAAGACGAAAAGAACTGCAGAGAAGCAAGTGTGGTGTGTAGTGTGTCGTGCCACTCATAGGGCACCTGACGCAGGCCGTAGACAGGGCGGTGCAGGCTCCACTGGGTCCCAGCTGGTAAGGACCCAGGGAGACCTAGTGGGCACCGGAGGTAGATCTGCTCGTGCAAATTACCCTGCACGAAGGCTGTCGAGAAGTCGAGTGAGAGAAGCTTGTAGTCATACTACGAGGCTAGGTGAAGGAGCACTCGAAGAGTAGTCCATCTTCGGGGTAGGAGAGAAGGTTTGGAAGAAGTCCACACCTGTTCGATGACTGAAGCCTCTAGCCACGTAACACGCCTTGAAGTTTGGCAGCTCTCCAGGTGTACGCTTCACCCAGTAGATCCACATGCCATCGACCACGTTCGCTCCCGGTGGGGGAACTGTGCTGAAGTACGTGCCTATGGATCTGTAGATTGCCATCTCTGCCTCCATGGCCTGTATTCACTTGGCTGTCCAGGGCTCCGACACCCCATCAATGTAAGAGCGCGGAATAGGGATATCAAGAGCGTCTGGATCGCCCTCTGGGGATACAAGCATGGAGCAGAGATGAGGTACAGCGGCACCAAGGCAAGCCGGCTATTATTGCCTGTCCTCTAGCACGTCATTGCCAAGGGCAGGTGCACTCCCGGCGGACGGAGAACGGGCAGTTTTAGAGACTAGAGTGGGAGCGTAGTCAAGGTGGTGACTAGCAGCACAGTTAGCGGCAACAGT